ATAAATATATAAAATATAATATATAATATCTATCCTCGCCACTAAAAAAACTCACATCTAACTTAAATTCAACTTTCATTAATTTATCGCTTAATTTGGTCAAGGATAAGTAGCAATTGGCTTCGAATCTTTTTTCAGCCACTGAAACATTTCTTTAAGTTCAGATAATATGACAAATATTTTATTTCTATTTCGTTAGAAGCAAATTTGATTTTTGTGAGTCAAACTTAGGAAAGATATCATTGGAAAAGTTTCACTTTACAGTGTTGTCTACAGTGTGATTAAATGTATATTCGCAATTTATAATCATTAAGATTTCATTAAATAACAATAACAATTATGTGTAGTTAGACTTCTAGCCTTCAGAGAAAGATTCAAATAATTCTTCATTCCTTCCTGTTTCATAAATTTGTTATTTACACGAGATACGCGAATGAAACGTTGCGTTATTATCTGAAAGAATTTCTTTCCTCGTTTTATAAATATGCTAATTACACGAGATACAGGAATAAAACGTTGCATTGCTATCTGGAATGATCCATTCGCCAAAAATTCTTGAATAACTGCCAAAAAAAGGAATCGAATAAATTATCGAACAGTTACTGCGATACTGTCATACGTCGACATAATTCTCAGAATTCATAGAATTCATAGAATTCACAGATATCCTATTAGAAAGTGAAGCATATCGATGTCCGCTAGAGCCGGCGCAGAATCGGCGCAGGAAAAGTGGTTAACGCGCTGGCGGTGGCTCTCTAATAAATTCAATCTATTCATTCCAAATTGCCACGCCGGCTGCTGTGGTACACCGACATTGCAAAACACGCGTTAATACGGTTTTGCATAACCAGTCCTCGCCATCCCGGCGATCGTTGATCCGAGGCGGGACGAATCTCGGAAAATATCACGACGCGATGATGCCTGGCCGTTCCCGTTTTCTCGCCTAACTCGAGCACTGACCATTAATATCCGCGTGATCGCGCGTTTCGCAACACGCTAATCAAATCGTATGACCAGCGGTCCTTGCTGTTTTCCTGAATAATCGCACAAAAACACCGCGGAAGAAACGAGATCGTTTGCAGCATCGTTGCACAATAATTTTATTGAATCTTTCGCTACGGGATTAATATTATTATTGTTATCGTTATTCGAGTTTGAAAATTTGTAATTATTATTGGTCTTAAAACTTGCAATTATTATTAGTTTTAGAACTTATAGATTTATATTAATCTGATGGTAAAACTGATGGTATAGAATGTGATGCATAAATAAGGAGTTCTATTTTTCTATTGTTTCTTTAGCTTTCAACAAGGATGATATTTTTAGCAAAATTAATTTTTTGTATGCATTCAAAAATGTGACAAAATATTATATATCAACTCAGGGGAACAAATAAGAAGAATAAAAATAGAAAGAAATGAAAGAAAAGAAAAGAAAACAAAAATAAGAATAAAGTGAAATGAAAAAAGATAAAGTAAGATGCAAATGAAAAATTAAGTTGTCTTACATTAAGAGAAGGCTTAGGTTATTTTAAAATAACTTTAACTTTTGTCAGCAAGTATATGTCTAGCTTGCAAAAAAGATTCGTTTGGAGGATCCAGAAGGATCCATTAACAAATTTATAAAACGAAAAGAAATGGTTGAATCTCTCTCTCTCTCTCTCTCTCTCTCTCTCTCTCTCTTTCTCTCTCTCTGAAGCCTAGAAGCCTATCTACACAGAATTGTCACTGTTATTCAATGAAACCTTAATGTTTATAAATTGCGAATACACATTTCGCCAGACTATAAACAACACTGCAAAGCGAATACCTTTCTCAAGCGACCTTCGAAACACAAAAATCAAAGATTAACTTCTAACGAACTGGAAACAAGATATTAATCCATATTATCTGAACTTCAAGGAAAGTTTCAGTGACTGTAAAAAAATTCGAAGAGTAACGCTAATGATTCACGGGTAAATTTTCACCGGCTAAAACGGTCCGACTATCAGCCGCGCGTATCGTCTTCCTGACAGACGGTTTGCCACTCTCGTTATTTATTACGCAACAGAGAACATTGCGACAGCCTGGGGCAAGGCCGTGGACCAGTCTCGCCTCTGGCTACGATCCCGTGAATGAACCGGACGAGTTTGCGGATTTCCTCGCTCCCGTCCGTTCAACTTCTTCCTATCATCCCCCTCCTTCGGACAGCCTCCTCGTTAAACCGCTTCATCGTCGCGAATTGAATAACCGCTAATTGATTCGTCGCCGCGAACGATCGGTAATCGTTTCATCCCGTGGAGAATCGGGGAAAGTGGAAGGAAGCATTCGAAGCAAGACCTTGGAAGAGTCGATGATTTTATGGCTGGGGGCATAACGAGCGCTCTATTAGGATTATTTATACAGGGTGTCCCAAAAATGTCTCGCAATCCGACAGTGGCGGGTTCCTCAGGTCATTTGAAGCAACTTTTTCCTTTACAAAAATTTTCTCCGAGGCACCGTTAACGAGTTATCAACGAAAAACAGTGACCAATGAGAGGCGAGCTCAGCTGACGCGTGGCGACCGAGCCAATGAGCGGAATTGGGCTTCGTGCACTGGTTCTTATTGGTCACGGTTTTTCGTTAATAACTCGTTAACGGTGCCTCGGAGAACATTTTTGTAAAGGAAGAAGTTGCTTCAAATGATCCGAGGAACCCGTCATTTCCGGATTGCGAGACATTTTTGGGACACCCTGTATATCGCATCGCTGATCCGACGATTACGGCGTTAATGAAGACATCTTCGGCGGGGAGGAACATCTTCGTGACCCACATAGTTGGATACGCGTTCTCTAGCCGTGCTGATGGCCCGCTTTATTTTAATTTCAAATTACGTCATGCGTTTCTACAACGGGACATCTGTTCTGCTCTCAGGAAATCGCTGGAGGCTGAAGAGATCACCGGCTGGAGTGATTATCGTGCAAACGGAACGATAGGCAAACAAACATCGTGGACAGATATAGTAATGAATTATAATTATAAATTATAAGTTACGTTATTCTGTTCAGAAACGATTAAAGTCAAGAATGTTCTGATTATTGTGACCGTGAAGATACTTGTGCGCAAAGGATTAACGACACCCTCCGCAACGATCGAAAATCGCCGCGATTTCTTCTGGACTATTAATCACGGTGTTGCATACAGATGAGCAAGCAGATGTGGAGCAAAGTTAATCGCGCGGTCGTCGTTTTCGCGAACCGAGACGAGGCTCCAGAAACGAGAATGTGTGTAGAAAGTGGCGTTTGGACTGCGCACAGACTCTGCTGTTTTGCACGCTTTTGCGTGTTCGCAGGGAAGACCGAGTGCGATACTGCTCTCGATTTTCTAACGAGCGATTCTAGCTGCCCAGAATCACCTCACTCTCCTCGGATTAAAGGTGATGTTCTTCTCAAACTCGGGCAGCAATTTATCTGCTGATAATTTAGGGTCAGCTGACATTCGAGAAAGTTTCGGCGCGAAAGGTACCTGCATTTTCACCGTTCGATAAATTCTAGCTACTTTGTAAGCTGTTCTGCTTGCTGCTACAAAATACTACCTAAGTTCACGTGCACACGGAATTCTAACGAAATTGTCCTAATTAGCTGATCATCGAAAAAATGAAGCTTTAAATTAATAAAATTTGCTTGTTAGATAAAAGGGACGTGATGTTCGAAATATTTGAAAATTAAAACTGGAAACTGAAAGCTGGCTCGAAACAGCGAACAGCAAGGAGTATGACACTCACTCTTATCAAAGTATCAATTATACATTTATTTTTTATTAATATACCGCTCAAAAAAATTATAGCAGACATAAATTTTGGGTAAAAATTGGTCAACTTTGATCGACGATAACTCCGCCAGAAATCATCGTAGAACGATGACATTCATCTTAAATTAAAGCTCGAAACCTCTACTTTAAGATAGTATTACTTGATTTTAAATCTGATGCATCCTCGCTACTATAACCCTTTAAATGTATGGCCATGTTTGTCACATTGAAAATTACCAAGTTCAACGAAATGCATAAAATTTCATGTCACAAAATTTGTTCGCAGATGCCATTTATAGCGGAACGAAGTTTGATCCTTTCCCTTTAATTTCAAACCAAAAGAAACGCGGCTGCGACTTTTTTCGCAAAGTTACAGCATTCGAAGTAATCCTTGCATCACAGCGGCGAATGTGAATCAAACTAAAACTTTGTACGGCATAGTCTCACATTTAAAGAGTTACAGTGGCGAGGGTGCATCAAACTCGAAATCCAGAAACATTATCTGAAAGTAGATGTTCCAAGCTTTAATCTTAAAAAGACGTCATCCTGCTACGATAATTTTACACGGAGTTATCGTCAGTCAAATCTGGCCAATCTTTAAGCAAAATTTCAGCAAGCTGCCATTTTTCGAGCAGCGAATAATTCGAAAAGAAAATGTTGACCGCGGAGCTGTCAATTGGAGCGTATCCTTTTTACTCGTAACAACAGGATTATTTCGCTTATCAGGATTAACAAGGAAAAATTGCTGAAGCTTGCCGGAGGAGCAGGCACTTTCGGCGAACAATGTATCACGGTCTACGTGAATTCCCGAAGAACTGAGAACCGTTCATACAATACTTGAATCGAGTATCCTCACTTGTAACAGTCCCATCCTGTCCGGTCCGTCTGAGGTGGTTCGGTGGCAGCCTCTTCAGGTGTGCCCGCGGGGACACCGCATTTCCCGGTGAGAATAGGCTCTCGACGGAGGATCACCGATCGTCGCGTGCACCCGATCGACAAATCATATGCGTCGCGGAAACCAGTTAGGCGCTCGGAGCGATCGAAGAGAACCGCGAGCCAGCCGGTGCTCGGCTGTCAGCTATCTAGTCCCGCGAAAGTCTCCCCACCGATTTCTCGGCTCCGACCGCCCCCTCCAATTAAATCGCGCGGTCGGGGGACCGAGGAGAACCGTTTCCCATCCGTCGGGGCGCCTCTTTTCCGCCACCCGGCTCGATTTCTTTCCACTTTACTTACGATCCTCATGATGCTCTAATCCGTTCCAAGAGAGGTCCGGGCACTGCTCGATCACCGATCGCCGATTTTCCACTTGGGTCCCGACGAAGCCGTTCGGCGAATCCGCTCGACGAAGCTCGGGGGTTGAAACTTTCGGATGGAAGAGCCGCGGATTAGAAGCTCCTCGGACGAGAGCAGAAACGCAAACGATGCCGATAAAGGTGGGTCGTAGGTGTATCAGCCACGGTTGCCGTACAGGGGCCGTTTGACGATGGGTGGGGGCTGTTCCTGGGACTTATATGTCGCCGCTGGAGGCCACGCGACGCGGCTCTTTTTTCTCCAGCCCCCTCCCAGCAGCTCGTGGATCCTGCGGTGCGCCTCTAGCCGGGCCCTTGACGATGGTCAAGGTGAGACCCAGTACCACCTGCCCCGAGGGGACACCACGCGACCGATCGCCGGCCATTAAGAATCGCTTCGGGGAAATACACGCGGCGGGGCACGCCGCGCGCGCCGCCTGCCTTCTCCGCGCAAGGCTGCTTTCTTGGATCCTATGGCCACCCGTATCCTTGCTGGCGGTCATCATTATGATTAATCAAGGTGTGACAATTTGCGCCGGGCGTGCGCTGCACGCGATTGAGCAATCGTATGTGGGACGTCGTGGTCAATCTTTCAATTCAACGATGTCCGATGTAATAGTTTCGTCCAGCCGTGCGCGATACGTGCGGCCAGGGTGCGGCGACTGGAAATTCTTTGGACACTTTTTGGAGTTCGTTAGCCCTCGTGTGCTACGTTTGTTATTAATAGATTGCCGATTTTTATGTATTCATGACGCATGGAAGTTTTTAGAATGCAAAACTATTTGCTGATTCGAAAACTGATTCTGCGCTCGTCGTAAGGAATTTTCTAGTTGACGTAAGAAATCCTTTCATTCTTCAGATTTTTATAATAGAACTCATGAAAATGAGAGTTTGTACGTGATGCTGAAGGTTTAATTTAAAGATTAATATCAATATTACTTTATTTTATTACACTGTCCCATTTGATGCAACCAAATCTGGAACAGGACAAAATGCACACTTTAAAAGAATTAAAAATAAAAAGGCAAGATATCGTAGGAAAAAGGGATAACACCAAGCATTCTTATAGCGAATGAACTGATCTTTCGTGTGTTTCCAATTAGAATTCGATAGGTCGTTTAGTTTTTTTAATATCTTCTCCCAAAGACTCTAGACGTCGCAATTATTAATGTGAAATATGGTCAAGGAACGGCATCACGGGTTATTCCCGAACTCCGAGTAACGTAGTCATCTAAATATTCATGCGACTGCGCTAATAAACCCGGAACAACCTTTGCGCATGACAGCGCCAGTCCCGGAGACAATAAACTGCCGAGTCTCGCATAAGGAAAAACGTTGTAACGTTTAATAATAATAAACAGATACAGTCTATGTCCCGTGAGTCAACGGTAAACATGTATTTGCCTAATAGATGCCACGCGTGCGTCTCTAACGCGAGCAGCAAAAAACCGATGAAGCATCTCCTGTCGCCGAGGAACGCGAATTCCTGAACGATTGTCGTTGCAAAATCAAATTAACGCGGATTACCCACGCGATCCCTATTATAAAGATCGTTCTACGTAAGCGACCCGACGCTTCGGAATGATTATAGCCGGCGTGATCTCGATCGGAATCCGGATCTCCTCGAGCAGTGATGTCATTCGACTCGGTAAGGACTCTGTGTCCATTTATAATATTTTTATTTATTTAATGCGTCGCGAGCGCGAACATACAGAAGTAGATGCGAACAGGAAACGAAAAAGATCGTTAGCGAAGACGATGCTGAAAGAACTAGTGTAAGGGCAAAAAGGGAAACGAAATGAAGAATACGTGCAGCAACGGAAGCTATCCTAGGTAGACATTAACAATTTATTTAAGCCTTAACCGGTGAAATTTTGCGAATTAAATTTTTCCGATTACGCACATACTTCCAAATTCGTTTAATTATTTCCAAATTAGTAAGTAAATACCTGCAAGTAAATTTACATTCGATCATTGCAAAATTTATGAGTTGATAGAATAATTTGTTCGGAATAACGAGTAATTGCTATTTGAATAAAATCGTCGACTAAAAAGAATTCATTGGAGTAATTATTTTAGATAAATATTTATAATACGTTCTTTGTAAGTTGAAAATGAAATGATAGCGGAAAGAACGTTGATTAGAATGTAGTATCGCTGCTATTGCGTTTATAGTATTCCTGTTTCGACGCCATATTGTCGGGCCCGACTCTGCCAGGACGCCATGTTGTCGGGCCGACGCTTACTGTCACGCGCCATCTCGTCGGCCCAAGCGTTGGTGACGCTATTTTAGCACAAATAATTACATTGCCGCACTAAAAACGCGCTTCCCTTAACAGAAATAATTTCTAAAATATTTTCAGGGTCGGAGGAAACGTTGAGCTTAATGAATTTCCGGTTTTATCGCGGCATCTCTGTCGCAGAAGTTTCCAAATCGCGTTAGAGAGATCCCAGCGTCGCAGCAATCGTATTTCGTGCCGATTCGTCATAAAGCCGAGTTCTAGGATCGTTAATGCCTTCAAGGCGATCACTAATTGTCGATCCAGACTTGTCGCGACGATCTCTAAGCGGTTTCCGCCGACGCAGATTGTTCGCGTCCGTCTGTGGGATCTGCGAATCGGTGTCATCCGACGGCGGTTATCGCGAGACAGTCAGCTGACGATCTCGTCGGACGGAAATCAACAGAAAAAACCATCGAACAACGTTTGCCACGGGACAACGTTTCACAGCGACACGGGATCGGCAAGGACGCGCTGCATCTGCATGCCGCGATTCGAGTCGGAAACGCGATCGGGTAGTCAAGGGAACGCGATTTTGGTTGCGGCGAGGACGCTTGTTACTGGCGGCGCTTGTTTTTGCGGCCTCTGTCCCTTCGTGGGCCTTGGAGAGATCCCAGGGATCGAGCCTCGATCGCCTAGGCCCGAAGGTTGATGGAAGAAAGGGAAACGAAACATAGACGAACGATAATAATTGAGACGTTTCATAGAAGAAGAATCTCGTTCATGTGCCCTTAGTGCTTGGAGTAGAATATTAGTCAAGATACAGAAAAATTATTTAAAAAGAGTCGCATTTTTTCTTCATTCTTCCACGTACTTCGTTTTATTTTCAAACTAATATGTAATAAATTGACAAACAAATTAGGGATACGACTTTTTTATGATGTCATCTCGTTTCTGGAAAAAGGGCACATAAACGAATTAATTAAACGTTATACAACAAACACGTATCAACATCAAATCGTGACACCCATTTCCAGAACATTCGAGAGTGTATTACTGTATCTTAGAAAAATTGAATCTTTATTATTGTATCACTTTTCATTAAGAAAACTTTGCGATTGCTTTTCTCGAAATGGCATTTCGACGTGTATGCACTTCTTCCACCCAATGCCTCGATTTCTGCTTACAGCAATAAAACGGGATGATAACGACTATTGTCCTGCCAGCTCCCGCGGATTCTTGAAGTTCCTAAATGCATAACGATCGCCGATCGACGCTGTCGAAGAAAGGGCTGCAAAGCGGGCGACGCGCGTCTGGTCGCGTCGCACTCTCAGCCTTCGTCGGAAATGGAATCGTCGGCCTTAACCCGATAATTAGCCGGCTTTCAGCCGCGACACGGTGCAAGGATACCACCGGTGCTTTCCAATACCATGGGCAAACCGAGGAAGGTTAGTCCTTGAACGATCGGTCAGCCTGGATCTCCTAAATTCGATTGATCTCGCGAGGCCGATGGATCCCTGATCACCGACCGTGTCGCTGCTTGTGGTTTCTCGGGCCACAAATTTTTGCCAACCTGCACGAATCGACCCGTGATTCGCTATATCTGTCTTTTTACAATAAAAATGTACCTCGGTTCAGTGTTCGATGCAACAATTAGGGAGATCCGACTATCATCCTCCGATCATGTCTTGTTTTAAAATAGCACGGTGTCTAATGGACGTCAATGGATGCATATAATATTTATGATTTACTTGAACTGCAAAAACCATAATTTTTCTCTGAATTAAATTGAATTAAGTCATATTGAATTAAATTAAATTGAGCCAAACCAAATCAAATTGAATTGAGTTGAATTAAAAATGAAAACGGTTTTGAACGGATTCGAAAAATTCGGAGTCGGGGATGCGTGGAAAATGCGAAGCACGCATCTCGCAGAATGTGGAGTAGAGGCCCGTAGAAGCTGTGTTACACTAGGCCAGGAATCTAGATCAATCGGCGAATCACGTGAGCAATTATCTCTGAAACCAGTTCTCTAGGATCATTTGCATGCCGTTTTCGCTTTTCGATCGGTCGCGGCGCGGCGCGATTACTTTCGGCAATCTGTCGTACGGCCCGCGAACGATTAAATCGAGACTGCCGAATCTCCATTTCGGTACACCCGATTACTTACAAACCGGTCGGGCAATCCGGCATCGACATAAATCAAGCGGTTTACGAGCGTCCGGTCATTACCGACGCACGCTACTACCGCTCGCGGACACCGTTCGCGTAAGATTGGTAACGCGTTACTAACATAATCGCGCGCGTATTATGCAAACGACGCGAAATCGTATGCCAGGAATGTCGTAGAAACATCAACGCGCCTGTCGAATTTATCTTGACCTTTTCATCTCCGGGGGTAGCCCAGTTTCACCGCAAAATTCTACGACGAAATCGAAACGGCCGCGAGCTAGTTTAAAATTGCGCGATTTTTATTCGTTCAGTTCGTTGACAATTATATTTATAGGAGCAATAATGGTGATAATTTATTCGTGTACATACACGGGACGATCCTTTGTAACATAGTGCTAAAATAATCGCACGAATATAATTATTAGACTATGGATTGCATGCATTTATGGCAGAAACGAATGGGCGAAATATAAAATTGCGAAGATTTTCGGAGGATTTAATGATTTTTTATCGCGCTACCTTGAACATCTTAATTATCAAAAGAAACGATTTAATTTCGATGAATTCCTGTTCAATCGACTTGATCGAAATCGACTAAAAGCAGCGGTTTCTAACGTGAGCTCAAAATTTCCAGAACGCGAGCGCGTTTACTCGTCCGAGGAACACGCGAGCGAGTGCGCGTAACAGATTTTTCAGAAAATTGCGAACGCCTCGCGGCCAAGAGAAGCCGTTCCGCGCAACAAGAACAGCTTAACGATGAAAACGAGGTGGGAGCCGCGGTCGTCCGATCGATCGGGTAATTTCAATTACGTTTTATCGCGCTTAATAAGCCGCGAAATTGAAAGTCGAACGCGCGCGAAACCGCTCCGTGGGACCCGACGGTGAAACAACGACCGGTCAGACGCTTATCTGCTCGCGAGACCGGCGCCATTGTCCGGCGATTTTTCCTAAAGAAAACACTTTTAACGAACACGATT